AATATTTTTGCTAATCATATGTATTAGTTAAAATTACTATTTGATGGAACATTTAATATGCGTAACTACTACAAAGACTACTTTAAAAAAATAAATAAATTGGAAAGACAAAATTGATTGAAATTTTATATTTATAATCAAATTTAAAATTAAACTAGTTCTTATATTAAGGATTAAAGGTAGTATGTAGTTTTCATGTAATATATTATATAGATTTTATGGATTATTATATGAGCAGGAAAAAAGGTAATAAAGTCAGAGAGACAATTAGGCGGCTACGCAAATACAAATGGCACCCACATTACATAAAACCCAAAGAATTAAATTCCATATCTAGGGGACATCTTCACATGACATGACAAAACTCACACCATGTGAAAAAAAACACTCTGATTAGGATTTAATCATTATATTTAATTACTATTATTATTATCATCATCACTTCTCTTTAATGCCACATGCTTGGGCACTAATATGTTTGTACTTTGCAGCAATATAATATATATGTGTTTGTGTTTGTGTCTAACTATTTGATATTCAGTTCAAATTAAATTTTTTGAGTATTATAACATAATATTTTATTACATCTACAAAATTTGAATTCACGATAAAAAAGAATATTCAAGAAAATTATATAATGGATCAATATATTTGAATTAGTTGTTAATAGAATATAACAACCTGTTGTTGATGTTGTTATTATTGTTATTGTAACGTTAAAAAATTAATATCAAATCCAGTCAATCTAACCAATATTGATCGTTTGTAGCTATACATTATTCCCATATTAATTATATATATCACTCAAAGTTAGCATTAATATACCTTCCTCCATCCTAACTATTCCAAACTTGGGCTTTGATGCTTGATTTCATGGTTAATAGTTAGTACTCTTCCGGTCCTTAATATATGACCCAATTGTTGAGTTGGTTTTGGTCCTAAATATAAGATCTATTTTTCATATTTATCAGTTTTCTCTAAATTACCCCTATAGATACTCCCTCAATCATAATCAAGTAGAAGAGGAAGAGGGAGTATTAAGAAAGATGATTATGGTATTTTAGGAAAAATGTGTCACCTTTCTTATAATTAACTAACTTACCTAACTTCCTTAATCTAATCAAATTAATTAAATGGATCTTATATTAAGGACCGGAGGAGTAATATTTAAGCTTCAACTTCCATATTTAGCTACGTTCTTGATCTAGCTAGGTTTACTTGTTTCTATTAGCTAGGTAGGTGGAGAAGAACCACTATAAAATTTTAGTTTTGTCCTATCTACCATATTGATTATTTTTCGAGATGATCTCTTTTAAATTATAATACAATCTATGTTTGTACACTTTAAGGTCTAATTGCTTAGAATTCATCTACAGTTACTTTTACGTTAATCAGTAAAGATTTCTTTTTTAGAAATTTTTTTTTAAGTAAGCAGATAATTTCTTATAGTTTTTAGAATTTGATGATGAATTTGGCCTATCTACCATAACAGATATTATTAATTAGTCTTTTATTTCTCTAACAAAGCATTACAAATGAAGGGAGGGATATATGAAAATGAACTGAAGTTTGAGAAGTTATTTGCATATAAATATAAATTGTAAGAGGGTTATTTATATTTACATAAAAATATAATTCACAGGGTCAATTGTCAATATAATGACACATCACACTTTGTTAGTGAAATAAGAAATTTATTTAATGTAGGACGTTATTTTGCTTAAATTTAAAAATTTAAAAACATCAAATTTTAAAAGATTGAGAAATTGTTTAAAATTTGATTTTCAGGATATCCGTTTTGTACTTTAGTTTATATTAAATCTTTCCTCGAGCACCTATACACATTGATTTGGTGCATTTAAAATATAAATTCTGTCAATTATCGGAATCAAATTTTGAAACATAAAATTCACCCAATTTTTATTGTTAGTGAATCAGTAAAGAATATAATAACATTCAATTATACTACTTTCATTCAATTATAGCATGTTATATCATCCTTCTAAAATACATATGGGTATTATTAGATTATATGTCAATGCAAAAGTGAGACAAATTAATTTGAAAAAAAATAAATATAAATACTTTAAAATAATTTAATAATTTTTTAATATATCTAAATTAACTGACTGAGTCTTATATTAAGAACTAGAATCAGTATATTTCTTATTACCAAAGACGTGTCATGTGATAATGTCAACAATTTTGTTAACAAAGTTAAAGGTGAGCCTGTAAAGAATTGAACTGAACAAGAGAGACGCCAATATGAAAATCAAAAATTGTTCGAAACCAACATTAGAATCAGTCCCTTAATATAAGTCCAAACCATGATTTTTAATCAGGTGGTTAGAACCAAGAAAAAAATCTATGGAGTTGTATTTTTTTAAATCAAGAGCCAGTTATCCACATTGATACAATAATAATTTTTTCCAGTCTGATATGGACAAACTTCGATTGGGATATATATAGTTATATAATTATACAAGCAAATATGATAATAATGCATATGTTATATCTTAATATTTGGAATATATTCTTCTGTTATTTTCAATAGCAGCTAGCGTGCTTGGGGACAGTGGATACAGTGAACATAATTGAAAATCTGATATAAGAACTTAGTCTTCATCACATAAAATAAGAGAGATCTACTTAGATTTATAACAGAAGCAAAACTATATATATTTTGATAGAGATCGCGTAAATTAAGGTTCATTTGTCGCCAAACTAAGCTGTCTCATATAAAAACAAGTTCTGCATTAAGATTCTCATTCCATTTCTGAACGAGGAATCTCCCATAATAATCCACGTTTAGGTTCATATTGAGACCCTAAAAAGGAATTAATATAATTAATGTGCATGTGGGACTTAGCAAATAATAGTAATAAAACAGGATATTAAAAAAAAAAAATCCCTTAAACTAGGGTTTCTGGCAGAACTTGTCTGTTGGGTAACTCCAAGCAGACCTTAATAGCCTAACTCATTAAACTATAGGAATATAGTACGGATTCAGATCATGTTAAGGCAAGGTTGTTTGGATTACAAGAAATTAAATATGGGTGGTTAAAGTGAGTTAATGTGAACCTCAAGTCATCCCTAAGCTTAGATTTTTTGGGAGTTTCTAGATCTGAGATGAACAATATTCTGCATAATTTGAAATTTCCTTTTGATTTAAGGTAAGAAAGGATTTTTTTATTAACCTTTTTATAGTACTCAATTGTCAAGAAAGCCATGTGTTGTCATCAGTGTTTCAAAGTTCAAAGTTCAAAGTTCAAAGTTCAAAACAAATCCACTGGGAAATAAAATTTTAGTTTAAAGTATTGTGACAGTAAATGCTGGGTGTTTTGCAGGTTAGGAATTTGGAGAAAAACACATAAGTCAATCCCAAGTCACCAGGGTAAGTAATAAGAGTGGAGAATGAACTTGGATTAGGTAGGGATTTAAACATCAATAACTTAGTCAGTCAAGCTTTGCCGTTTGAATAGACTCAGTCTATAAATAATAAAAAAATTTAAGGTCCAATATTTATTCATCTAATCTAATCTTTTGAGCTAGATTTAAACATTGTCAGTCTAATGGAAACTAATTTTTATAACCAAAGGCCAAAAAGCCTTTGTAAATACTCTCTGATAAGTGGGTAGTTTGTAAACTTAAAAAAGAAAGAAAGAAAAGAAAGTAACTTTTTACAACATAATCTTATCTGTCTATAAAATTTGAATGATTGATTTTGTTTAAATAAAATCACATCATTTTACTGAATCTAACCACTGTTGGTGTTTGTGTCAGCATATTGATTAATGGGTTTGTGTAAGGTACACTTCAACGACCTTGCAATTGATTTTGACAGAGGAAGCATCCTCCAAGGCTCAAGCCCTGGTATGGTAGGCTCATGGAGAAGCATTCTTTCAAAGTGATCCACGGTGTTTGGAACTTGTCATGAGTAACATCGAAATGATGTGAACTTTCTGCATATTTTATAATAGGGTAGAGTGCATTTACCACTCAGATTTTATTTTCCAAGTACATTCAGCACTTTGCTTTACTTGTAATCTTATTATTTTGATACATCAAGTATAAAAAATTAAAATCATGAATAAAATTATACCATTAAAAAAATGAGGGCATTAGGTATAGCTGAAAAATAAAATCAAAATGGTGAATGCACTTTTACCCTTAAAAAGATACAATATTTTGTTTAAGGTATTAATTGTTTTCATCTAGTGTTGCTTATGGAGCGTAAAATTTCTTGGACTATAACAAAACTCCTTTAACTAATATTTTTTATTTAGAGTTATTTTGAGATTTTACAAAATTTAACTAATTTTAAGTAAATTTCTTATGTGACATAAAATAGTTAATCGGAGCTTATAAATAAGCTTAGAGGGAATATTAAACGAGAGGGAAATTAAGTGATGGGTAGGTTTCATAGTTCTTGAATTTTCTGGTTCCCTACCACAAGCTCATTTTCTGGTGAAGAGGATTAGTCAATTTTCCCAAAGCACAGAGACAAAGTTAATTTAATATCACTTACATGAGTTTCTAAAATGACATGTCAACAGCATTTTTACAAATAAAGTACATTTTTGGCCAAGTGATTACGCTTTTTCATATTTGATCTGCTACAGAAAAATTAAACTGAAAGTGATAAAATAATAGTTAAATTTAATTCAAAATGAAACAGGATTACATGAATATAAAGTAAAAAATAATTAGTTATCCAATTAACCCAACTTAATCATAAAATTATAGACAATTCCGTTTTAAACATATACAAGCCTACAGAATATGCTCAAGTTCAAAGAGTTGGACCGTATTAACAACTCCACTACACGATGATACATGTCAATACGACCCCAATAACTCACTTAACTTCTATTAATCACCCAAAAGGGTGAACAGTTCTCATCTAAATTAATATATCAATCTCCCAAATATCACATTTTCCTTGGACTAGCAGACAGCTTTGAATTTCATTATAAAGAGTTCCAGGCCGAAAAAATAACTAGAATTATAGAAGGTAACCCCGGCTGAAGAAAATAACTATTTGGTACAAGAAGAATGAATATATGATTACAATGAGAAAACTATATGTTCAAAATGCTACGTGAGAATTCTAAAATGTGAGTATCAAGGGAAGATAAGAATATGGAAATAAACATATACCTTGGAATGCATCACAGAACCAATAAACAGATTAAACGCAAACCCAGTCTACAATCTTGGGAGAACCAAGAAAAACGGAAACAGGTTCAACATGAACCGCAAGTGGAAGCATCTGCAGGCTGCTAACTGTAATGATACATACCAGGACTTGCACTCTAGCTCTGATTATAATCCAAACAAGCCACACCAAGCACCTTTCAAGTTAATTTCTCTTATCAGAGCCTTTAAGATTGAGGTTAAACCATTTCTTTTTGCCTGATTTATCCTTCCCATCTGAGCTTCCATCTTCCACAGGGCTCTCTGCCTTGGAATCCTCACCCGCAATTTTGCTACTACTTCCATTACTTAAATTACTACTGTTCCCACTAACAGAGAGAGACCTAGTGACGGTAAAGGAAGAGTGGATAGTGTCTCTCTGTTTCAGAAGTTCATCTACCTGAATAGCAAATCAAACTTAAAGTGGTCAGAGTCCATTGAATCCCAATACAAGAAAAAGCATACACAAAAGATTCGAACTAGAACCAAAATATGATAGACAGAACTGAATTGAGTTGAACTGTTGGAGGTGCCTTGAGATAGGCAATTAGGCATAATACATCGAGTCCAAAAGCGTAAACTGCACTTACCTCCTCCGTTGTTTTGGAAACTATATTAAGTACCCTTTAGAAAACAAATTGTTTTACTCAAACAAATATCCTGTTTTATTTTCCAACGAACAAATGTAGATCTTGCTGCCGACTTCCTTACAGGTGAAAATCAGCTTATCGATGTATACTAGGGCTCTAAAACTAAAGGGGAAGTTATGTGTAATATTAAAATATGGCTGAAAACGTTAGTAGTTTAATCAGTATTTTGTAATTTCTCGTCACATTTATTGATTTCGGTATTTTTAATCTAAAAGCGCTAGACAACGCAATGCAGACAAATAGACAAAAATTCTGCTTATTTCTTCTTCGTAGCATGAGTTACAGACAAACCCGACACACTTTGAGCACGAGGTGCAAATACGCTTCAAATCTTTAAGATGCCTCCCCATTTTATGTGAGACGTGATTTGACCAAGGTTTTGGGATCCTACCACAATCATCCAGTCACAACCCAAAAAAGAAAAAAAGAAAAAAAACAACTGCCAGCATCTGAATGCACACTGGCCTACTGGAGTTATTTCTTTCTTCTTTCCCCAGGTAAGATTGTAGTTTCTCCTATTCAACATAAAGTCAGTTATTTATAGTTGCTTCTTAATATGGTGCATTTCTTTTCATCATACCACGAAGATGGGATAGCAAAAATTATAATCAATATGCTCAATCACAACTCAGTTGAACAATTATAATATTTCCATTTTGTTTTCAGCTTAAGCTGTGGGCAAAATTTACGGTAAGATGAATGCTAATGCATGGCAGCATGAGTATACAGAATGGCCCCAGAATAGCAACTGTAGCAAGGGCACAAGAACATACTGATTGTTTTTCTTGAGCATATCTTTCAGTCACCTCTTGATAGCGTGCCAATGCCTGAAAAAAGTTTGAGAGAAATTGATACATTTTGCCTTAATACAAAGTTTGAAACATCAATGACTTAAGCTAGCAAAAACCTTTCTGTATTCTGATTCAAATTGGCGCAAATCATTCCTCTTTCTAAGAATTTGAGTTTCGATGTCCTTAAGCTTTTGAGAGGTATCCTCATAAGATTTTGCACAAAGAGCTTCAATTGTATAGTTAGCAGTCTTAAAGAAGTTATCTCCTGGATAATATCAACCTCAATCAGTGAAAAGTGCAAATGGTTTTACACTAAGAAAAACCCGAGTAAGCAAAAAGGAAATGATACAGAAATGCAGACCATAAACAGCAAATATATGAGTGCCAGGCTTTAATTCTTTGACTTCACAAGGTTGAAGACCTTCCAACCTTTTGAAGAAACCAGCTTCAGGATCCTTCGCCATTGCTAACTGAAAAAGAGTACTGAGAGTAACCATACCATTTTCTAAATCCCCTCATAATAAATTGCTAAGAGATAGGAAAATGTATGCTTAGATGCATACCGCATTCACAGTTGAATCCATTCTGTATACTTGAAAATGTAAGAAATACATGCCAGCGGATGTCACCTTGCCAGTCTTCTCACTATCTTCCTGCATAGATACAAAAAGACAATCAATATCCATAAAAATTCAATATCAAATAACTTACGAACAATCAATTCAATTTCTTACTTCACTTGTTTTTTCATGCTAGTAGGACCCAAATAACTGGACATATTTCATATCTTTCACACTAGTAGGACCAAAATAATTGACTCCATTGAGTTTGTCACCCTAGAACTCAAGAACAACAATAAGTCTTATTCCACTAGATAGGGTCAGCTACATGAATCGCACAATGCCATTATACTCCATCAACAACCAAATCATAGGATAAATTGTTGACCAAAAGATCCCGCTTAATAACTTTATTGAGTATTTTCTTTGATCTTTCCCTATCCTTTTCTAGAGAACTCTATACTGTTTGATCTATTTTCCTCACCAATACATTTGATGGCCTTCTTTGTATATGATTCAACCATCTCAAACAATTTTTTACAGTCTTCTCTTCGACGAATGCCACTCCAACTCTTCCCCTGTTCACTACAAATCCTATCTTTCATATTGTCATCTCAGCTACCCTCACTTTATGCTCTTGTTATCCTTTTAAAGCTCAACATTCACTACCACATGGCATTGTTGATCCTATAACACTAAGGTAAAACTTTTCTTTTACCTTATTAAGTACTTTTCGATTACAAATAACTATAATAACCGTATTCCATTTAAACCACCTAGCTTGAATTATATGATTAACATCTTCATCAATTTCATCATCTTTTTGCATAATTGATCCTAAAAATCTGAATGTTGCTTCTTGTGGAATGATTTGACCACCTAATTTAACCTCCAAAACACTTATAACTTGTCTTTGATCAAAATTGCAACACAGGTATTCTTACTCTTACTGAGGTGAAAACCTTTCAACTTCAAAATCCTTCTCCATAGCTCAAGTTTAGAGTTAATATCTTTTCTTTACTTGGCCAAAAGAACCATGCCATTAGCGAAAAGCATACACTCAGGGATTTCTTCTTGTAGAAGCTCAGTCAGAACATCTAAACGAAGGTTAAACAAATAAGGATTCAAAGAAGATTCCCAATGTAAGCTGTCCTTTAAAAAAACCAAAAAAAAAAAAAAATCTTTTACCTCATCTCCAAGCATTTATACACTAGTTATTACCTCTTCATACATAACTTATATAACTTTGATCTATGCAACACACATACCTTTCTTTTCCAAGGCTTTTCAAGCCAATCTCTTGGTATGCAATTATAAATTACTCCTCCGGTCCTTAATATAAGACTTATTTAACTAATTTGATTAGATTAAGAAAGTTAGGTAAGTTAGTTAATTATAAGAAATATAACATGTTTTTCCTAAAACACTATAATCCTCTTTCTTAATATTCTCCCTCCCTCACTTACTTGATTATGGTCGAGAGATTATCCATAAAAATAATTTAGAAAAAGTTGATAAATATAAGAAATAGGTCTTATATTTAAGACTAAAATTAACATAACAATTAGGTCCTATATTAAGGATTGGAGGAGTATAAATAAGTTGCTTCTTTTGTGGACCTTCCTAGCATGAATCCGAATTGATTCTCAGAAAGGAACATTGGATGTAATCATAGAACTCAACAATTACCTACTTGTTTGATGCTATATTTCAATTCTGCCCTTCGAAAAGGAAGTTCGGCCCTTAGAATTCCGTCTCCATCTACCAAAACAACCAAAAATGTTTTAAAAAAAAGTAGGCATACAACGTACAAAAAGCTCATGCCCTTCATTAACTCTAAAGATAGGGTGTCCTAACCATCCAACAGTTATTCCATCCCTATTGTCCATTGGACCCACTCTTTACAAACCCCATTTTACTGGATTATTGCCAATGTAATCATAAAAGGCTAATCTTTCAAGAATTTTAGGCCAAGCTTCTAACCACCCAGACATTTACACCCTTTCATTTGGGAAGTTTGGGCACACTACAAGACTTGCTAAATTCTTAATGCCTTAAGCAGTGACTTATAATCACAAGTTAGATCCTCTAGAACCCCAATAATTAATTTCCTCCATCTACGAGCACTAGCCAGAATCATTCCAAAGGAAAACCAGGATAGCTGCATAGCTATAGCAGGAATAACTAAACTTAGTAAATTAATATCTAGCAAGCTTAAGTCATAGCTCATAAATGCTTCTATACCACAAAATATCATGGAACCAGACATTTTCAGTAACATTTAAATGTAAATTAATATTTTCAAATTCTATATAGAGAAGTCATGCTTTCATCTTTGCCTAAAAAATCATACAACAAAATAATTGGCCAAATCAGAAGTAAAAGTAAAAGATAACAAAGGAATGGAATAAATAGACTACCTGTAACGCCAAACCATACCCACCATTTGCCTCATTTTCAAAGTAGAGCAGCTGCAAAATCAGGTTTCTATGTTACAGTCCAATACGGTTTATCCAGTGCGCAAAATTGCACGACAGGCGAGAGAGAGAGTAATTATCATTGTAAAGATATTTTTCATACTTTGAATTTGCTTTGTGCAGTTGAAGTCACTCTTATTACAATCCCGGCCTCAGCTTGCTGCTCAGTTATCGTCACACCAAAAAAATGAGCACATTGCTTCTCTACCTGCACCAAATTGTGACACAAGTATAAGAAATACGCAAACAAGAAGACAAGTGTTTGCTCTTTCAACGTAAAGAAAGTAAGAACCTTTCCACTAACTGACGTTCCAATAGGAAGGGGTCTGACTGTAACTGTGCCATTAAGGGCTTCTTCAAGAACATTTGCTGAGATGGTAGTCTTGATAGGGACACCCAGCTTGCTTCAATAAAAAATACAAGAAACAAATCAGAGCTCAACCAATTTGAAAATCCAATATTGATAAACTAAATACCCACCTGAATAAAGCTGCAAACATTGTGTTAACAGTTCCAAGATTTGACAAATCGATTTCCATGTCCAAGTTATCAGCATCAAGTGCCTGAGATGAAAAGTTATAAACATCATTTTGGGGATACAAAGATAATGGAATTATAAAGAGGGAAAAAAATTCTGGTAATCAGCAAACACGAATTAATGGCAAAGATCATTAACTACTAAGAATACAAAACATAAATAAACAAAAGAAAATATGTGCATACTGTCAATAATGAATCATGCAGAATAAGTTTTACATGTTCATGCATGTGAACCCAGATTAGATTATGTGAAACCTTTTCAAGTTGTACGTTCTTAGAATCATAAAATATACTCAAATGTCCTCTCCCACACCACATGAACAGTAAAAACACTCAACCGGCACACCCCCTGAAGGAAATGCAGCCAACAAGTTAAAGCATTGGTCCTTTTTCTTTTGACAAGGAAAAGAAATGGTAGAGGAAATGATAAATGAAATCAACTCAATTGAGCTTCTATCATCAGTTGTCTAAATTTCCTTTTATGTTCCCTCTTTAACTTCTTTTCCTTCCAAAGACAATGAATTCTCACTTGGTAACTTAGAGAGAAGAATTGGGGAATCAAAAAGAGACTCTTCTTGTCTCTATATACAATATAGCAGCAAAGATTGAAGAACAAGAACAATAATGAAGCCAATATTTGAATACAGATGCAAGTGATATGAAGTAAAGGACCTCAAATCCTGCACTGTCATACTGTCTTCTCTTCTCTGGATCAGATAAGATGTTGTAAGAATATGCAACCTCTTTAAATAACTCTGATGCTTCAGGATTGTTAGCATTCTTGTCAGGGTGATACCTGTCAGATGAATGAAGTGGGTAACACATTGCATATGAAATATATTAAAGATCCCACACATCATCAACATTTTACTCATTCTTATCCAGAGAGCAACTACATAACCTCTTTGACGGTACAAGAACAGAATCCATAAGCTCACCAAAAAAAAAAGAAAGTCAAGAAAGAAGGAAAGCAAAGCATAACCATATATAGCTCTAAATCTGGTTGATTTGTTCTGCAAGCCTCCCTCTGTCCCCTTTAGGAAGGGAACTGGGGGAAGACTAAACAAGAAGCTTAAGTAATTAGTCTTCCAATTCTATCATGCATTTTATCTTGCAAATCCACCATGCCAAATCAAAACTTGACAGGCAAGCAGAAAATCTCAATAACCACAGGCTACATGGATGCCATGAAGGACAATTTTAAGAATTCTGCAAGATGCCACTTCCAGAAACGTTACCGTTAAAATAACAATATTGATCCCCTTTCTAAGATATTCAAAAAAGAGTGTAAAGTATATTACATCACAAATTCATGGAGCAGACCTCTTCTTTATGAAGATATGCTGGCGCGATTACCCAGAGAAACAACAAAGCCAGTGCAGAGGAAATTAAGTAGCTAGAAAAGAAAGGAAGAACTGAGCGTTTGACTAACTGCAAAGAACATGCACTCTCCTTTTATACAAAAAGAACAGGCACTCTTAGACATGATAGTGGGCGTTAGTTTAAAAGAATAAACATCGAGTCTAAAGAAAGCAAGAGAAACAAAAATAATAGCTTTCACAACAAACAGAAGCTCACGCATATAATTATAAATACAAGACATACAAGTGACACTAGTAAAATTGAATAGTGCTTGAGAGTGAGTAAAACGTACTTGAGAGCGAGCTTTCTGTAAGCCGTTTTTATTTCCTGATCATTTGCGTCCCTTGCCACGGACAATACCTCATAAGGGTCTCGTCGAATTGATGGGGTAGAAGGTCCATCGATCTTGGAACCCGTCCCCATTCCGGCCGTCGACCGCTCTTCTTCTCACAGAGCGGCTAATAAAACAAGTTTCCCCTTTTGTGTTCCAAAATATTTTGTATTGTTACCTTCTTCAATCAACGAAATCAGTCACCAGAAATTTCAAACCAAAACCACCAAACCCAGAACCAAAACAGAAGCCCACAGTAGCAGACACACGATTCAGAGCGTTATTGGATCGCAAATATTTTCCTCGAAATGTTAAAAAGACGAAAATTGATCAGTTGATGAGGATTGAGATCTTGCAGTCTTGTCCCACAATGAAGTCAAATTTATGATGGAAAAGAAAAGGGCGAGATTGGGGTTTTGAATTTACCAGACCCCGACAGAGAAAGACCGGCTGCTGCGAACGAGGCTGAGGAGGGGATATGCAACTGTCCGACTACGACGCGAATGTCCGAGAATGCGTTTCTCAAAAAACAAAAATAAAAACAAAAGAAAAATAAAAACAATGTGTTAATAAAGTTGCTCACATTTTCCAGTGCCTACCTGATTTTTTGATATGAATTAATACTATTAATAAATATGGGTGGAAAAAATACTACTCCTCCGGTCCTTATTATAAGACCCAATTTGACTTTTTATTTGGTCCTAATTATAAGACCCAATCCATTTTCTCTTTTATATTTATGCATTTTTTCCAAGATAATCCTTTTAATAATGATAGTTTTAGCCAATATACTTAATTAGCAAGGATATTTTAGGAATAACAACACTTATTTATTATAAATAACCAATTTAACTTACTTCCTTAATCTCCTCAAATAAGTCAATTGGGTCTTATAATTAGGACCGGAGGAGTATTAAATATAAATTAAAACTGTATAACTTATTAAAAACGTAGTGACTTGACGAGTTTTGATTTTTTTAAGTAAAAAAAAAAACCAAATCTCCTTTAGTATAAAACAAAACTCGTTTGGTTATTGTAGTTTTAATAAGTTTTGGTTCTAATTCTTGCACTCTTGATGTGATTTTGTTTCCTACACTTAATAGTATTAACTAGAAGTTAATGATGTGAAATTCAAACTAAATTCTAATTATCTAGACTAATAATAATATTAACCTGAAAATAAAAGTATTATCTATATGTTCTGCAATCCTTTGACATTTTATCGTTAATCATTATCAAGGGACTTATCTAGTGTGTCATAGATATATGATGGAATAAAAAGTTAACGTGTGAACATATCTGTAAAGAAAATCTGACGGCAAGTGGGAGAAAACAGTTTTTCGCTCCATGGGAGCTTATAAATCCTTCTAATTAAATTACACGGTTTCAGAAAATAGTTAAAATTAATTAAAAATAATTAATATATAATAAATATAATTTTTTTTAAATATACTCCTATATATAAATGAGTAAATATAAAAAAGTAATAGTGAGATAAATAAAAAAATATTAAATACTTTAAATTAGAAATAAAAAAAAGTAATAATACATTAAATACCGAAACAAATTCAAAAAAAAATCTTATAAAAAAAATAAACTCATTTAAAAAATTAAATAAAGAGGAATAATATGGTTTTGGTCCTTCCCATCCCAACTACTATTATTGTACACGCACGCACCCTAGAGTAATAATTAGTGTAGCTGTCATCATTGTCATTTGACTCATTTCACTCATTTGTTAAGAGTGCGTACATGGGGGGACTCGGGAATAGTATTACAAAAATCAGTTGGTACTAAAAAACTAACTAGACAAAATAATATTTGACATGAATTTAAAGTTACGAAGCAAGAAGCTCAATGATGTCCCAAATGATGCCGGATTACTTTCTGGGCAAAATGACTTCAAAGCTCAAAGGCATGGAATGGAGCCTGTTTACAATATTTTATAAATAATTTCTTAATTATAATTTATAGAATAAAAAATAAATATATGAAAAGAATTTTATTTTAATTTTTGTGAAACGTGGTTAGAAGTATTTTTAATAAAGGATCCAAATATGGCCCTAGATTAGCTACCTTTTCCTGGTTTCTGACTTTTGCTTTTTTTTTATTCTTTAAATTTAAATTTAAATTTTTCAAAACTGACTTAAATAAGTTTTCTAATAAAATAAAAGTTAATATAATTTTTTGGTCTCTATGGTTTCATTTATTTTGGTTTTGGTATCTATAATTTCAAACAATAAATTTCGGTCTCTTAAATTCTTTTTCTGTTTATAATGTTAGTCCTTATAACTTAATAAGGACTTGAATCCATAATTAACGGTGTTAAATTTGCTTATGTGTCATTGACACAGTTTATTTTGCTAACTAGGCATGCTGGCATGGCATGCTGACTGGACATGTGATTCTAACTTTTTTTTAAAAAAAAAAAGCTCTCACTAAGAATCATCATCATTGGCATTGCATTCAGAATTTCCCTGGCTAGCTCTAATCGCGTCTTCCCCAGTCCCCACCTCTGGCCTGATTGAAATCACGATTTTGAGCAAGAAAGAATGAGAGTAGGAAGAACAAGTAGAGGCGTAGCTGAAGGTCAAGGAAGATTCTCTTTTACAACTACTCCCTTCCTTGAAACTAGTTTCCAATGGTAGTAATGAACTTCATGATGTTTATTATTATAATAAAATTTAAACCATTCAGATACAATTTTAATGTTATAGATCTGAAGTTTTCAATTAGTAAGTTTTAAATAAAATATACTTTTTAAAAAAGTTATAGTTAAGAAATTACATTTATTTTGGATTATGTACTAATTAAAAAAATATTTTTTTAAGAATGAAAATATTAAATATTAAATCTCCATTGTATATATTAAATTTGAATGGTTAATGCATGATAAGCATCATGCCAGTGATGAGTATTAAAACTGACTCCCCCTCTCCCTGTATCAAAACTGTTTTGGCCACACCCTGTGCTGATGAAGGGTATGTTTGGATTGATGTTGGATAAATCTGACTTATAATCCAACTAACTTTTATAACTAAAGTTAGAGTAAAAGTCAGTTAGTGTAATGTGATAAGTGCTTATAAAAAGTCTGTTGAAAAATTAAAAATTGTTTGGATGATTAATAGAAAAGTTAATTTAGTTATAAAATGATTGAAAAGGATATGAACTTTATTAAATAGTAGTGTTTGAAATTTTATGTTTTTAATGTGATAATAGTTTAAAAAAATACATAAAATTATTATGATAAAATATAAATAGTTTATTTGTGAAATTATAAAATAAAAATATTTGTTACGGAGAAAAATTTAAAAACACATTGTAGATAATTAATTAAATATACATAATAGACAAACATGAATATAAATTAAAATTCATTTAGTCTCTAATTAAAGTAAATAAAATCATATAACTAATTAGATCGTAAGCTTTGCACAATTTTTTTATAAGTCAGTTAGAAAAGTTGATTCAGATTACGTTGGATAAATCAGTTAGAAAAGTTACTTTTTCCTATAAGTCAATTAGAAAAGAAGCCTCATCTAAATAATTTTCTGAGTCACAATAAACCACAAACCTTAGTTTCACGTATTTTCATGTGCTTTTACCATTCCTAACGGCAGTCCAAACGAGTCCGAAAAGGACAAGACAAACAGGAAAGAGAAAAGACGTGGGAAAGCATCGGTTACTTGAGGAGGGTGGGTGGAGAGTAGTGAAGAATATCTATGCTCGGAAGAAAAGAACATTGTTTTAAAATTACACATATATATAAGGGAATAAACCACTTCTCTTTATATGTTTCAAAGTTATATATATATATATATATATATATATTATGCGCTTCTCATTTACCAAATATATTCTTTGCTTTTCAGCAATTTCCAGATAACTTTTACAAATAAACCACTTAATTCTTCTTCTTTTTTTAACCAGGGAACAAACCACTTAATTCTACTCAAAGTATACAGCGCGTTGACATTCCAATCCAAAAACCTTAGAAAATTTAATATATACTACTTCTACTTCTAAATATAAGAGCTAGTTGACTAATTTGAGTAGATTAATAAAATAAATTAAGTTACTCATTTGTAATAAATATGTGTTGTCTTTCCTAAAATATCCTTGTTAATCAAATATATTAGCTATGACTACCATTATTAGAAGGGTTATATTAAAAAAAAAGATAAATATGAGAGACAAATTAGATTAGAGTCTCATATTTAAAATCAAAATAAAAATCAAATAAAGTTTTATATCAAGAATGGGAGATAATAATACATATACACTATTATAGTTCTATCAATCAAAAAGCAATAGAGATCATGGCTCTGTTTATCTCTGTTTTGTATGAGAAAAAACGGAGGGAGCTCATGGGGTAGGTGCCCCTCTTTCTAAATCAGAGGGTGATGAGATGGAGATCATGGATGAGTCTGAGATTGAGCTGACATTTGGCCCCTAAGTTCTTACAACCGTATGAAAAAAAGTGAGATGATGAAGATAATGCCACCGCTGATTCGAGGAAGATGATGAATTCTTTTTTCCCATTTATTAAAATTACATATCCAGTCAGCCTGCCCAAAAGCGTGCCATATCAGCGAAATAAACAACGATTAATGACATATAAGCATATTTAACACTGTTAATTTTGGTTCAGGTTCTTATTAAATTACAGAAACTAACGTTGTAAGCAGAATAAAATTTAAAGAATCAAAATTTTTTTTAAAATTACGAAAATCAAAACCAAATTGAATGAAACTATAAGCATCAGACTTTATGTTAACCCTAAAATAAAAGTCACTTTAATTTTGTTAACATGTAAATTTATTTTGAAAGCACCCAGTGAGTCGTAATTGTCATCATAAAGTTTTCAATGGCACAATGTTTTTTCTCTCAACAATTTAAAAATATAGTAATATCACCTAAAATTAATAGAAGCACCGCACAAAGTAAATATATTTTTTTCCTTGCTGCCAACCACCAAATGGAGTTAATACACATCAAGGTGAAACTGCGATTCAACTCGTTTTCTACTTCTCTTTTTTTTTTTTTTTGGCGGTTTTTGGAATTGGAATTTTCAACAATACCCTCCTACCACTTTCATCCCTTTGCTTGTCACTGCCACCAGGAACAGGAGATACACGGAACCTTCGTCTTCTTTATATATCTCTTTCCTCCATCTTCAAAAAGAAAAAATGGCTTGGACACCATCCATGGAATCCAAATCGACTTCATGAAATTTAAAAGCCATTCAATCGAGCTCATGAGAGTAGTTTGATTATGGGTGTCAAATGGAAATAATAAGATGAGGAAGTAGCATATTTTTCCGGTCTTATTTATAAGTTATTTTATTAACTATCATTTAAAATTCAATAACTTTTCAACTTTATTCTTATTTAATATACATTATACGTCATGTAAACAAAGTTAGCGTAATAATAAAAGAAAAGTAAAATTGTACATTCATATAAAAAAAGTTTCTCAGTACTCTATAAATATGACAAAAAAATATCTTCTCTCTCTGCTATATAAATAAGACCATAAGAGGATACTCTAACATGGGAGTAGCTATTAGTGTGAACTTCCAATAGAAATTTCCCTCCAACATTCCACACGTCCAGTGTTGTGCACAGAACCTCAACAAAGAGTACTACGCAGGAGACCAAGATTTGAAGGACAGAGAACATCCACGAGGTCAGGTAGCCTTACTAGCCCCATCCACAGTGATCAAAGGTTCAATTGAAGATGATGAACCACGCCAGGGTAGCTCTCACAGGTAGAGTTAGCAACATGGCTTACCGGTAGCTGAATTAGAGGTGGCATGCCACCTAATCATATATAAGTCAATATTGGTCAAACATTTGACTTTGTCAAAATTATGCAACATCGCACTTATTTAAAAACGTTGGAAAGGAACACTACAGCTTGTTTGGATTGACTTATAAGTAGTTTTTTAAACGTGATTTACATAATACGAGGAAAGTATATAAGGAAAGTTTTATCTCGACTTACATGATCTTGTTTAAAAATCTGTTTTGAACGAAGCTCCAAACAAGCCCTACATCATTAGACACTTAAGGATATCGATTGTACTACCTCACCTCATTTATAAATTATAAATGATATTTTATAATTACAATTGGAGTATCTTGTTAAGTACTTTCAGGATAGATTTGCCAATTCGTGGTAGATCTAACAATTAAATTATGGCTATTTATGATGACTTCAAAGTTCAACTCAGAATCATAAATCTTTTTAGTAAAAATTAATCCCAAAACATTGTTTCTACCAAATCTAGTTTAGACAAACGTAACGTCAAATACCTCCTCCATCGGACTATACCCAAATATAGCACCAGTTGTCAAAATACAGACGTCAAAGAAGCTGTCTGTGTCTAAACTCCCCCCCCCCCCCAAAAAAAAAACTCTTAATTAAATATTTTGTAATGATAAAATTATTTATTAGGGATTGAAAAAAAAAAGGATTTTATAAACGATATCAGTTAGAAATATTTTTTTAGTAGTGTTTATTGCTAATAAACATTCTCTATTTATTTCATGTTTGTAATTTACTTGTGTTTTGATCTATTGTAATTTTTTTGGAAAATTAATATTTTAGTCTATGTAATTTTAAATCAGTCTTTGAAATTTATTCTCCTCAACTCATTCTTGAAATTTTAGTCATTTAATTTGCTAATTTATGAGTCCTTAAGCCTTCAGAAAATTTCATAAAATCACATGGTACTTTAAAATTTAAGTTATAATCAAATAATAAAACTCAACAAATTTTGACCCAAAAAAAGAACTCAACAAATTGAAATAAATGATTAAATCTTATCTGAATTGCACGTAGTTGAAGTTAAATTTACAACTGATTAATTTTTTCTTTTGAAAAATAATTGGAGATTTTGTTTATCGTCAGCACACTGCTCAAAGCCTCAAACTAGAGAGGTTTTTCTGCATAGTCTTTGAAGAAAATAATACAAGTTTAATTTTAAAAGAAAAACATAGTTATTGAAAAGACTTTAATCCTGAATACTATTGGCCGGTCAGCATCTAACTCCAAGTAAAAAAAGTAACTCAGGAGTACTTCAAATTATTTTTAAAAAAACAAAAAAAAGTTCTTGCCCAGCTAACCCTATTGCCAATAGCGCCTTTTTTCCTAACGGTCAACTACTTGCCATAACGTGCCGCAAAGGCGCCAATCATTCCATCCGGCCACTGGATTAGTTGCGCTCAAAACTGCATAGTTGAGAAGTTAGGGAGGAGAAATTAGATAAATTATTAAATTCTCATAAATGTGATACGGTGTCTTAAATACTCCTATATAATATAAATTATAATCCACCTATTTCTTATTATAAGCAATAACTATCAAAATATACTTGATTCAAAATGTTAATTAAATTTAATTGAAAACAATAAATATGTAAGATATATACATATTTTTTTTAATTATACCCTTATTTGTAAAGTGAGTATATGGAAGATGATGAGTAAAAATTTATCATAAAAAAAAGTGGCATATATTTAATTATGGGGGTAAAAATGGAAAGAAAAATTTAAAATTTCTAACAAAATGGATTTGTTTCTCATATTCAGGATTGTTTATTATAAAACAGATTGTTTACTATAAAAAGGATGGAGAAAGTACTACTTCCAATCCTTAATATGAAAGCTAGATAACTAATTTGTGAATATTAATAACATTAATTAAGCTAAATTATTTATGTCTTTTCTAAAATATCTTTATTATTTATGTGTATTGAAACAATTCTTATGATCATAATAGAAATTACTTGGGAGCAAGTTAGATAAATATAAGAGACAAAATAAAATAAAGTCTTATATTTATGACCAAATCAAATCTCCAACTTACTTATACATTTACAAGTTAGATAAATTAATTTGAGAAGAATGATGAATATAATAAATAATATGGATTAAGAGGTTATATTTAGATCAAAACAAACTACATAGCCAACTCTTACAATTATGATGGGAGGGGTAACTCGCTATTTTAGTTTCATTCTATTTATAAATCCGATTGAGATGTTTTCATTATCACAGTAAAATAATACAATGAAATCTTAATTACATCGAATTGTAATAAAATAAATCAGATAAATTTTGCTATATAATTTTGGCTATACAATCCATATTCAAGTTTATATAAATCAGTATAAGTATTTATACCCTCCAAAATCAACATTAGACAATTTATTTTCGGCTTGATAAAGTTATAAAAGGTCATTTCATATGCATTTTATATTTTTTAAAATAAAATATAAATTTTATTATTGCCTGATGTCATATTAAACAAATGCTAATAATAATTCCATTGTATTCTTAGCCGCTTTCTCTGTTTCTTCAACATACTCTCAACACTGAACTCGTGCTCTATCTGCTCTATCTCTGTCTTTCGCTTGACCCCGAAGCTTACCAAGTATAGTTATTGACTATGGCAATTCAGAAGCTTGCGTTGATCTTCAAAAACCCTCATAATGACGACGAGTTTCTGCTCGTTAAACAGTCACACCCGCCAAAATTTGATCACCAAGAGTACGATTCTTACGTCGATTCTGATCTGTGGGACTTGCCCTCCGCTCAATTGAACCCCCTGCAAGGAAAATCCGGGTCTCAATGTGTCGTGGAAGTTGCAGAATCGCGTTCGGAAGAGATTGATTTGAAAGAATTCGACTTACGCTCGGCTTTTAACGAGGTCGTGCTTTTGAGCATGGAATTATTGTTTTTAATACTTTGATAGTAAATTTTGTATTTTTTGTTTCCGTTTGTTTGCATGCAGATCTTTGAACAAATAGGCTTTGGGGCAGTTGAAATGGGAGTGTGGAAATACTACAAGTATGTGAAGGAACCTGCATTTGGACCTGACTTGCCCATTCAAACGGTCTTCATCACGGGAGTATTGCCAGCCGAGGACCATGACTTACGAGGTTTGTTGCGATTATCATAGACTATCGGCTGCTGACTATATCTTTTAAAGAAATTACCTAATGGCTTTACAGCCTTGCATTAATTTGTGCTCATGCCTGGTATGCGCCGATAAGCTGGTTCATCCTGTTAGCCTTCGATGTTGATTTAGTTCTTTGGAGAAATTTCAGGGAGGACTGATTTCTTACAAAAACACAAGTTATTATATTTTTAACAAGACTAACAGCGAAAGATAATGTTTGGCCTTCAGGTTAGCATTGTGAAACTTGTATCGGTTTGCATCGATTGCTTGTAAACAGTTTTCTAATCACAATCTCGCCCTTTATTATTATTTTTAGATGATGCCACTATAGAAGTCTTATTTCTGATTGTATTCAAAAGTTTTGTGTTGTAAGATAACAATTTGGTGTTTTTTATAATATAGAACAGACATAAAAGCCTCATTTGGCGCTTGGCAGCTTACGGTGACTTCTCTGGTTGCAGAAGAACAGTTAAATATGGGGGAAATAAGATGGAAAGATATGGGGTATATAAAATAATAGGCAGGACGACAGAGGAAATATAGCAAAATGCTGGGTTGATACATTTAGGAAAAGTTTGGGAGATATGGGACCATAATTGGTAATAGCTACGAATATGATACTGATTTGGTTGGTAATGTCCAAATGGAAGATAGGAAAGTAAATCTGCCTTACGGCAATTTTAGTCCACTGATAAGGCCTTGTTATCATAGAATTTATAGAATTTATGAATGACGTAGTTAATTTAAACGGACTGTGACTTGTTGGATCAGTATCAATGTTTTCACTTCATTCATTTTGACTTTTTTCTTCTTCTTTTTTTGCTCTTTGACTTTTACTTTCTATATTAGTTTGTTGTAAACTCGTATTAAAGCTTATTCTTTGAAAAAACTGGTTTGTTGACGACAGATTGACTTATTCTGGTAATCGTCATGCAGATATATGTAGATGGATGTCTGTCCAGAGCTGTCTTAACTGGCTTTTGGAAGTAAAACCATCTAGCAAACGTGTTGGACCATTGGTAGTTGTTAGTCTTATAAATGACTCATTAGGTTCTGCGAAGTGGAAAGTTCCTCCAACCATAGGTTATCAGGTTTGCTTTCTTTGAATTTTGTCTATTGTCATGGCGGGGCAAATACTAGACATTACAATAAATAAATACATAAAAAACCATTCATGTAGTACAAGCTAAGCTTTTACGAGTTAGAACAAGAATTTCAAAGGCCAGTGAGTCACTTTTTAGGCAGACTTCATCCTAAACAATTATGAGTTCAACCTCCCTCTGCATTGCATTCAGAGCACCACAGAAAAGGAGAAAATCACACTTTTTTTTTTTGCTTTTTTTCCTTTGGTGCTAATTGCTAACATTAAGTAAGATCTTAATTGAGATTTAATAAATGGGTTTACTGGTTTTCAACCTCATATTGGCTTCCAAATGTGGAAATGAACATCCTTACATGCCTTTACGATGTTAATGGGATAACTATCTCATCCAGGATGAGCCATCTGTTGAAAATACCACATGTAGTGCTAACATTGGGCAAGATTCACAATTGAAAGTACCACTGCAGTTTAATATTGATTTTATAATGAACATGGACAGAGCAAGTTCTTTTACCTATGAGTTCATATTGTTTAATATTCTGATGCAAAATGAAGATTTACTTATTTATTTATTCATAGGAGTATCCTCCTGGTGTTGTGCTTATACCTATGAGAAGTAGGACCCAAAAGCCTTTTCACACGACAAACTTGGTGGTATTTGCCCCAGACGATGTTCCAAGTGAGTCTGGGGATAAAAGTTTTATTGCATGTGGAGATGCTCTGATAGTTGATCCAGGATGTCTATCACAGTTCCATGAAGAGGTAATTTCAAATTGCCTTTTCAGGTTTTTGTCCAACTCCTATTCTCAAGTGATAAGATTAACTTAAGTTCTGCTTGATTGGATTATGGTACAAACATATTTGCAAGATTGATCGTTGCCCACTGGTTCATGTGATTCTCCATCCTTGGACCTAATGCATTGGAAAACAAGAGAAAGTCTTGTATGCCTGTGTTTAGCTGACAACTTTTTTAAAGCTTGGATACCAGAAGATAGAACTGTTGAGACATCAAAAAATTTTTGGTGTTTCATTAAAATTTTAACATGATCATATTTGACTATGAAATATGAATCCATCTCTCTCCCTAAAAATGGTGGCTGGAGCTTACATAATCCGTTTTTGAAATTCTAACATATTAGTGGCTTAAATTATCAGCTATTGAAAGTTGTTGCCACTTTGCCGAGGAGATTGATTGTCTTTGTCACTCATCACCACTATGATCATGTTGATGGTATGTTTTTGCTAAAAGTATGCTGAACAGTATTCTATTCTCATCAGACATGAATAATCCTATATTGGATATTATTATGCGTATACTCTTTCTATTCTAATTTTTTGCAGTCTCCTATGCCAGGTCTCTCGGTTATCCAAAAGTGCAATCCTGATGCTATTTTGTTAGCACATGAAAACACCATTCGTCGCATAAGCAAAGGTTGCAATGTCAAACTTTTTGTTTCTATTTTCTTTTCAGCAGAGTTTAGCGGTGACAATTTGCATTGGTGTGTAATTTCCTTTAAAGTGTGGTTTTTGGAAGTATTAATTTGATGGCCATGCTAGTATATTTTTTAACATTATTCTTGGTGCATGTGATCATATGAGCTTTCGGATTTCTCCTGTTAATTTTTTCTACTGTATCTCTCTTAAATTCATTTTCTTAATCTTGACAATTGAATGATATATTTAAGTTTGACTGGACTTATTGTTGTTACTGAGTGAATTTGGTGTACCTTTTTTTTTTTCGTTGGAAGATCTGGTGTACTTTTAACTATTCAAGTTAATAAGGTTTTTATCAATCTCTTTTACCAAGTTGTGTATGATAGTCGTTGTTTGATTAAGATAATAATAGTTTTTAAATTGTCTTCTTTTGATTTTTGAACTATCTAATGTGACATATTGAAAACATAAACATTTTTGTCCTGTTAATTTAGTCTTGCATGATTACAGATGACTGGTCACTAGGCTGTACCTCAGTTTCTGGAGATGAAGAAATTAACATATGTGGTCAGACATTGAAAGTTATTTTGGCACCGGTATGATTGATAGCAATTTTGTGCTGTTCACTTTCAGTCAGTTATATCTAAGGATACAGCATGTCTGAGTGAAGCATCTTCCATTTTCTAGATCTTAAGTGCTGATAAACATGATAATGTTTTTTTGAGAAGTATGACTATGGCAGCGCTACTCCAGCTCTTTACTTTAAGAGCAAATCACATGGGCCATGTATCTTTCTAATAAAATTTTCTTTTGTGAAAAATAATTTTATTCACTGTAAAATTTCTTCTATCTTCTAACGAATGGCATTTTCTCTGATTCAGGGACATACAGATGGTCACATGGCGCTACTTCACGTGAACACTCATTCATTAATTGTTGGTGATCATTGTGTGGGGTGAGGTTCCATTGTATTCCAGGAAACATGACTAAGCAAAGACTGAGGTCTAACTATTACGTGCACGTGGACATACAAGTTTCATTTGCATGTTTGTCATGTACTACCTCTGGTTCTAATTATAAAACATCACTTATAGTCTAAAAACGAGATCTTATAAATAAGACTAGAGGTAGTATATTTCAATGAAAGTAAAACCGTACAGAAACATTTCCTCAAAAAGAAATAAAGAAACAAAGAAAAGAAAAGAAAACTGTCCAAAAACATTGAATGCCTCATCTGAAGCAATGTCTTGATGGATTGCTCTCCTTCACTATGTTGGGCAATCTATTGCATTGCTTTTCTCAGTTTGGTGGGTGAAAGAAACTGTATTTTGTTCTAGTTTGTTACAAGCTGAAATTGTGGGAGTATTCAATAGCCTCTTGGAACTTCCATTATTTGTACTGCTGGTTGACCAAGACAGATTATGATTTCAGCAACCCATTCAATTATGGTATCCGGCTAAACGTCAAAGGAGGAAAAAAGAAAATAAGAGGAAAATGGAAAAATCTATGGGACAAGTCTATCATCTGTGTTAATGGTGTTGGAAGCTTCAACTATCTAATTTGCATGCTTCCAGTGTGGTCACATTGTTTACTTAGTGTCTGGTCTGTCTTTGTCACGTATTAACCTATCTTTTACGTCACCCTTTTGTAGTTCCGATTTATTAGTTGATTTACTTTATCTTATATGTCTTTTAAGCTAGCCTCACAAACATGATAACTTGTTTTGTTTCAGCCAAGGAAGTGCTATCCTGGACACAACTGGTGGGGGTAATATGACTGTAAGTGTAAATCGAGCTAGTGATGTTGGACTGATTGCCTCCATTCTTTCTATTTATTACATTTATGGACTCCCAGTAAGAATCAGTCTCTGCGTTGCTACATTCAACTCCACTAAAGTGCAAGGGTGCACTCAATTAAGAAAAGGGAAAAGATATAATTTAGTGGTTAGAATTTTTATGCTACCTCCAGTCTTTAATATAAGAGCTAGATAACTAATTTACAAATATTAAGAAAACTTGTTAAATTAGTTATTGGTAATGAATGGTGTTGTTTTTCTCAAAATATCCTTGTTAATCATGTGTATTAGAATAGAAATTCTTTAACATGCACAATCATCATGGGGACTACTTTGAGAGAAAATGAATAAATATGGGAAACAAAATGGATTAGAACCTTATATTTAGAGCCAAATTGAATCTTTAACTAACTCTTATATTTAAGACCAGAGGTAATATTAAAATATTCTTTCACTACACTATATTTCTTTAAGATACAATACAGTCACTATTCTTCCAACAGTCATAATACACTCTAAATTGTTTCCTGTAACCAAAGAATATATGAATACTTGCATTTCTATTCATAAACATTTAGTTTATATAATATTGTGGCATCCACTTCTTATTAATAATTATACTCTAGCGCACATAATACTTGCTTAGAAGCTATAGGCTATCTTTCCAATATAGCAAGATTCATCACTTTATTGGGTGTTAAAATTTTAAATTTCAGAGAACTTACAATTTACCACAACTTTGAACTTTATGCAGACTGCATTTTCCACCAAGATTACTGTGATATGATGATGCATTGCTTTAGCTTAATCTATTGTTATTTGCAGGAATACTTCAAAACCACTTACAAATTCCTTGGGCTCTCTCCACATTCTTTAATACCAATGCATGGAAGAATAAACCTATGGCCAAAGCACATGCTGTGTGGTTATCTCAAGTATGAATCATCAATCATCTTTGGCTGTAGTTTTGAGGGGTACAGGGAGTGAGGAGTGGATATGGTTTTTGTGTTGACCAAATTACTTTCCCTTAACTAATTTTTCATATGGCTACAAGGTTCAGCTGTGAGGAATGCTATTTGTTGTTGCAGGAATCGTAGGAGCAGAGAAGCAAATATCTTGGCTGCAATTGAAGGCGGAGCAAGAACAATGTTTGACATTGTAGCACGCGTGTATTCTGATGTTGACCGTAGGGCCTGGATTCCTGCATCGTCAAATGTGAGGCTTCATGTGGATCATCTAGCCCAGCAAGATAAGTTACCGAAGGTAGTTGTTTGTTTCTTATTGCTGCTAATAGGTGTTGTTACATAATGACAGCCTTAAAATAACATGGCTTAGGAAGCTCTATTTATCATACATAAAAAGAAGGGGAAATTTTATGACCTAAGTAAGCTCTACCAATTCAAACTTTCTGCATTCGTTGGGATTTTAGTACCTCCCAACGACTGCTAATGTATAGTTTCTCATGTATGACATGCCACCTGGGTTTATGGTTGAAGTGGGTGAGAAATTGGGTAGATGTCAGGTTCAAATTTTGGTGACAACATTAATTGTGCCCAAAATAGATACGGGTTATCTATGAACAATTCTACTCATGTCTTGAGAAAGTTGTTCACCAAGCATGTATTATCTTCCAGATTGAATAATGCGTGCGCAATTTCTGTGAGACTGTGCAGGACTTTTCTCTAGAAACGTTCAATTCCAGTTTGGGTGCATTTGTTGACATGGTGGGAAAGCTCTGATTGGCCCTATTGACCACCCATTAGCCTCTTTCATTGTATACATGTATCTGCAAAATTCATAATTTCAGTTGCAATATCCCTTGGAGAGGGAAACTTTCATGCATTAATCATCAATATAAAAATACATTGTTCATAAGCCATACATGGCATGACTTATTTCTGAAACATATCTAGTTGTAATAAAACTCTTGTATCATTATTATAAAAGGGGATTGTGAAGCTTGGGTGAGTTATTATATATTCTAACTGACGGAACATAATGAATCTTCCTGCATAGGATTTTTCGGTTCAGAAGTTCCAAAACACCTGTGGGCTGCATTTTGTTTCTCGCTGGATATTGGCTTACATTACTGGTGGTTTCCGTATAGAGAAACCTTCATTTCTGATTACTGGGGCTGTGGCTATGGCTGCGGCTGGCTTTGCTGCGTTCTACTCAGTCAAAAAAGGAAGCCGCCCAAGTTGACAATGAATGATCAGAGAACCTCGAGGCTTGAACTTTGGTGATGTAAAGCACATGCCACTAACTAGATCACGTTTTTCACTCGTGAAATTCCGTTTATCTGATATAGCACCAGGACACCACCAACGGTCTTCTTCAATAAGATGAGTCAATTTCATAGGTTCACCTTACATGGCAGTTTCTCCGCTTCTCACCAGGTCAAGTGTAATTTTCACTAATAATTGTGTAATCTAAAAGTGGGGAAAATGTAGAGTAAGTTTCAGTAGTTGCTATTAGAATTTTTATTTTTGAAAGAATCAACATGGAGAGTTTTAAGAAAAATATTTAATTTTAAAAAACAGGGTCGCAAATGCTTTAAAAAATTTTGATGAAAAAATGATTCTAATTTTGAGCAAAATACACTATCTTTCTATTCCATAATTAAATTATTTTTTTATTTTTAAGACATATATTAACCTCTATCTCTGTTAAAATCAAAAGTTACATCACCCAAACTTTATTTTTAAAATGTGAGTTACGGTCTAATTTTGCCTCAAAAATTTTTGCATAGAAATTATAGGTATCTAGAAGTTTTTTTTTTAAAAAAAAATTTAGTATTACCTTAGAAGTGTTAAAAAAGGAGACGTTTGCTACGTCGGACCGTGTGCTACGTCGGACCGTGTGTCGTGTTTTTCGGCCCTGGGCTCTTGTGATCTCAAGTTTCATTGTTTCAACTGAAATTTGATTCAGCAGCTGGGCATTAATATTTAGAGCCAAGGGTGTGGTCACCAAAAACATCGCTTGGTACTAGATTTACAACGTAGGCATTGTTGCTTTTGGTTTAACACAACGAACCCAAAAAAAAAAAAAAAAACACCAAATTCTTGTTCCCAATGAACATGAATCCCTTCAAAATATTTTTAAAACACGAAGTTATATATATTAACACAATTTCAACTAAAATACGACATCAGACTCTAAAATACAACCTCACCTTCTAACTTTTACACAATGAGATGCAGCACATTCCAAACTAAAACACATTCATAACAGCCACTACATATATGACATGTTTCAAAAATTTCAGCCTCCTTCAAAAATCAACATTCTTTTTTTGGGCTGATTCAAAAATCAGCATTCTCTTCCTTTATCTTCTCCACCTTACGCTACATTACTAAGTTGGATTCTCAATGGGTTCAGCAAACCAATCAAATTAATTGCATCCTCGACAGGCACTGACCTTATAATTTGGGCACCTAACAAACCTTCTACTATAATTTTGCTCCTACCAAAAAGAATTGTCACATAATCTCCACTTATGCATCCTTCACCACTCCTTTGACCTACCGTTTGCCCACAATGTACGAGGAGGAACTTCTACTAGAAGCAAGTCAAAGCCTTTCAAGTATGGGGGATCAACGCCTTGCCTTGCAAAGAAGGTAAGAGCTAAACATTCTCTCATCTTCAACAAATCTCCTCTGAGCCTCATTAGCTCTCCTTTGCCTGACATCCAATGTCCGATTACCAAATTAAACGGCGTTAATAACATGTCATCAAGCTTAACACCATTAACACAAGTACCAAAGTTTCAGACGAAATAAACATAAAGGATCAAAGCTTTCAGTTTGAAATTTACAGCATCAGAGCTAACAATTACATTAGCCTTTTAATTAATCATCCTTTAGGCTTTAGCCTTATTTGTTCATCATCTCTTTCTATTAAATGTGATGGTGGACTCCTTTTTATCATATATCTTTTCTTTGTTACTATCTCCAGTCCTAATTATAAAGACTTCTTTGTGACTACAAATAAGATCTTATAATTACGACCAAATGTAGTATATATACTTTCTCTTCTCTTTACAACCATAAAAATTAAAAATATATTTAAAATTAGCATAAGTTGGATTTTAATTGAATATGTGGGGTTTAATTTAGACTATTCATTTTATTCAGTCATTTCTCATCTTTAAAAGTTTAAAAATAACACCCTCAACTTTCATAACTTGACATTTAGCTCCCTACCGTTAAAGTAGCCATTAAATCTATCGGAATAGATGTCATGTTAGATTGTTTAAAATTATTTATTAGATGACATGTAATCTTTATTACTTTGTTAATTTATCCTAACTCAAAAATCATAATTATATTAAATGGTATTTTTGTGATTCTACAATAATAATCCCTAATTCCTAGTCTTACTCACCTAATCGTCTTCCTCTTTCAGCCTCCCCCAATTCTCAGGTCCTTCATGTTTGCAATACCTTCTAATTAATCATCTTCTCCATTCTAAAAATCACCGTCATCACATCCTTCTTTTAAATCTAGAATCTTTTTTTGTGAAATTGTTTTTTTCAATGGAGACGAAGCCACCCAGCGAAGATTCAAAGATGGATCACGCTCAGTTGTTGTTCAATAGTCATTGCTCACTATCTTCCTTTCTGTCTATCTGTTGATTGTAGTGGGTGAATTTTGGCGGGTTGAAAATTTTGTTGGGGGCAGTGAGACAAAGATAATGAAGAAAATCATTTATACTTCGTCATTTTTTTAGGACAATCAACTGATAGAATTGTTACATTGCTAATGAGAACCAAGGGAGAAGAGTTATATTGTGAAGAGTGAAGACGATTTTTGGAGTCGAGAAGAATAAAACAATGCAAGTTGGTAGGATTAGGGGAGACTGAGAATTGGGGATTACTATTAGTAGAATCACAAAAATACCTTTAAGTGTAATTGTAAATTTTAAGTTGGAATAAATTAACAAAATAATAAAAATTACATATCATCTATCAAGTAATTTTAAATAATCTGAAACGGCATCCATTCTGTTAAATTTAACACCCACTTTAACGGTAAGGGGTTAAAATGTGAGTTTTGACAGTGGAGGATGTTATTTTTAAACTTTTAAAGATGAAAGAGGTTATGTGCAATAGGGTTAAAGTTAAGGGGAGTGATTTGTATTTTGGCCAAGAAAAAAAATTATTCCATGCCATTTCAATCATTATTGAGTGTATTTTTCAAGTCACCTATTTCTCAACTTAGTTAATAGTTATGTCTTCTACTTTGCAGCTGCACTGATAATTGATTCAAAAAATTTGTCCAGGTTAAGCATTTGATTTCCTCATCAGACAATTTTTACCTGTCAGAAAGACCCCTTGTTAAAACAAACAGCAGGCTCTTGTCAATTCAAATGTCATTATTAAGCATCTCGTCGCATTATTTTTTTTTTTTTTTTGGCTTTTTTATGTATTTCTGACAATATTTATTTATTTTTCACTCTCTGGTGCCCCTGTTTTTGAAATGGGGTTATTGTATTGTATCTTCATATTTTTATATTGTTTTCTCTGTTCAAAAAATAATTAGATTTTTTTTTTGAAAAAAATATGAATTGTATTTTCAATTGACCTTTAATTATCACTCATCAGTGAGTTGCCTGATTTTTCCAAGTCACAGTCTTTGGGTTTACTTGTTAGAAAATGAAAAATGCTTAGAGAAGACACAAAGTCTCCAATTAATAAGCTTCCATGTGCTCTTAGTTGTCTTGAAAACAAACTTATAGTTGGCCAAATATCAACCTTCATTCTCGGCGTTCTATATTGTATTTTTTATTATTATCATTGCCAACATCTATTTTTTTATTTTTAATAAAAAGAAGGAAAAATAGCAAATAAAGACTCTCAATATGTGAAATTGTTATTTGGGACTCTTATTTTGAAAAATGGCTTTAAAAGACCCAGTCTCGTATTGTAAATATAAAATCTTAGTAAAATGTCTGAAATCACAACTCAGGTATGTCAAATAACAAGTTAACTATGAGAAATTTTCACTTTAGCGAATGACAACTTCAATAGACCAAATCACAATTTGACTGAGAGGCATTTTAGATATTTGACTAAGATTTCATATTTGCAATATGAAACTGAGTCTTGTGAAGCCAATTTTCAAATTGAGAGTCTCAAATAACAATTTCACATATTAGAATCTTTATTTACTATTTTTCCTAAAAAAAAAACCCATAAATTTGGCGTGCTATATTGATATTCGTGTTCAACATCCATCTACTGTTAAATTTCTTATTTAAGTTTTTTCACATGTAATAAAAAATTTAAGGTTGTAAAACGTCGTCTCTGAAATACAAAATCAAAGCAACGTTATTTTTTTGTAAGATTTTTATTAAAAAAATTTTAATATTACTTGAGTCCGCTAAATTACGACTGCATACTAAAGGAATAATGCCGTGAAGGCAAAAAATATTATTTTAACTAAATATTTTGACCGACTAACGACCAATCATTGAATCACCGTCATTCATGGCAGTACCAGAAATTAATAAAAAAATATTTAAAATATTGGTTCTGTATATTATTTTGGTTATTTTTAAAAGTTTGACAAACATACGTTTTTTCCAAAAAGGCTTCTTAGAAAAATACTACGTTAGGCTCTTAATATAAAATCTTATTTAACTTTTATTTTAATTTTAATTATAAGATCTCAATCTATTTTGTTTCTCATATTTATGTATTTTTTTTAAGGTAATCCTTCGAGTAATAGTAATTCTAGTTAATAAACTTGATTAGTAAAGATATTTTAGGAAAGACAACACTTATTTATTACAAAAAACCAGCTTAACTTATTTCCTGAATCTCTTCAAATTAGTTAACTAACTCTTATAATTAGGATCAGAGGTAATACTTTATATGAAAAATAAAACAAATAGAATCAGAAATTGATTTAGTTATAAATGAATTCACAAAAAACAAATTTTGGTGATAATTTACAAAACGTTTCTTTGACGGATTCGTAATGACGCCTCTCCTGATTTTTTTTTTTTGACATTTATTCGTTTAAAGAAGGTGTTTTTTAGTTAACAAATAAGTTTGTTGCTTTAAATACATTTTAAGGAATACTCAGTATTTTTTAAGAAAATAAAAATTACTTCTGGAATCATATTTAATTTAGAAAGATGATTATGGTATTTTAAGAAAAATGTGTCACATTTCTTATAATTAACTAACTTACCTAACTTCCTTAATCTAATCAAATTAGTTAAATGGGCCTTATATTAAGGACCAGATAAGTATTTGCGAACTTTTCTGAACAAACTTTCGAAAAAATTATAATTTACAAACCACATGTGATAATTTTTTTATATTCTGCATAAGAAAATTAATCCCACACAATAACTGGCTCGA